TTTCCCATACTCACTGGGGCCATAGAATCACAAAATCCCAGACTGGTTTGGATTGGAAAGGACCTCAAAGATCATCCAGTTCCACCTCCTGCCATGGGCAGGGGCACCTTCCACTAGACCAGGTTGCTCCAAGCCTCATCCAACCTGGCCTGGAACACTTCCAGGGATGGGGCAACCACATCTGCCCTGAGCAGGGTCTGTGCTGTCCAACACATCCCAGTTTATCATAGTTTCATAGTATGTTAAGGAGTTGGGATGGAGCTCAGAGATCATCCAGCCCCAACCTCCTGCCCTGGGCAGGGGCACCTTCCACCAGAGCAGGTTGATCAAGGCTTTCCTCCAACCTGACTGTGAACACTGCCAGGGTTGGGGCAGCCACAGCCTCCCTGGGCAACCTGTGCCAGTGTCTCACCACCCCCACAGGGAAAACTTCCTAAGATCTAACCTAAATTTCCTCTTTCAATCTATCCCCATAAACTCGCTCACATTAGAGATTTTATTAAAAGTCCTCAGAGTTTCTATTCCCAGAGCCCTTCTGAACCAACCTCTGCTTGGTTGGCTCTCCAAGCCTGTGCCAGCCCCTAGCCACACACCCTGTCACAGGCAGCTTTGCCATTGTATTTGCCCCTCCTGCCCCAACTCCTCCATAGTGTCCTTGCTCAACCAGCTTCCCCCAGCCACTTCAGCTTTGCACAGCCCTGCTGAATTACTGCTCCCAAACCTCCTTCCAGCCTTGCACCACCCACATGTAGCTGCTTGAGGGAGTCTCAACTCTGTTTCACATCATCAGGTGCTCGTGACTCACTCACTGCTCTGGGCAACACTCTCTGGTTGACTGTGCTGGAAGGATGGAGCTGTTGCTTCTTCATTACCCATTTACTTGTGTGTTCCTGGCTTTTCTAGTCCTTTACCAGGTGAAACCTGCCTTCAGATTCTTCTGCAAGATGACCTTCTATAAGTTGTGGGTCTTCACTGTCAGCATTGTGTCTATTGTCCTCAGTCTTCCTCGTGGCAGGAACGTGGAGAACCTCAAGTAAGTTGGCTGTGGCTTCTTTCTGCTCTGAGCATTGGGAGAGACCACTCTAACCAGTGCTTTCCTTTGGAGCTGTGCTGGGGCAGGGAGGAATTAGCTGTGTGTTGGTGTGGGGAGGTGACAGGGCTGTGGGGTCAGGATTGTGTTTGAGTTGATATAACATAGGAAAGGACATGAAAGGTGACTGAGATTTGCCAGACTAGGTAATGGCAACCACCTGAATGTGCTGTACAGTTGAAATAACTTGCTGGCTAGATTTAAGCTCTTCTATCTGGTCTTTGGAGCTGCATTTTCTCCTCCCCATGGTTTTCCCTTTCTAAGTTGTGTTGAGAAAGCCACTGCAAGTGATCTTCTCTTTCTCAACTCTATCCTGAGCAGGCACAACAGACACCACCACAGTGCAGTGCTGGCACTGCATTGTCACTGCTGTCCCCACCACAGCCCAGTGCCCCAGGCCTGGCAGTGTCTCAGCCTGTCCCCTCTCTCCACAACAAGCTGTAGACTCACCTGGAGGTTGTGTGGTGTGTGCACAGGTGTGACCAGCACCAGTGGTGCTTGGAGCCACCTAAAATGCTGCCTAGAGAGAATTTACTACTCCATTATCATGTGCTCCGGTGGGAATTCATCTCTCCTAACTGAGCATCAGCATTTTGCTTTGAGGAATTTTTTCAGTTGTTCACTTTGGTGCCTGATTTTTGGTGTTTTCTTTATTTTACCAATTTCTCTTCAACAATGGCTCCCAGAATTGCATCCTAGAGGCAAATCCCTCTCTTTCCACAGCTAGAATTCAGTGCAGGTTTATTGCAACCTAAATTCCCCATTCAGCAGAGTCCAAACCTGTGTTGTGAGTTTGGATATTGATTCATGGAACTTCTGTAGCTCTAGTTGCTGGGCCACAGGTCTAGTATGGCTTGAAGGGAACATGCTAGGGGTCTTTGTCTTCTCTATTGAAATGCTAAGCTGCAGAACTGCTCTTCTCCAAGCCATGGGGCAGATCTGGCTCTGTGCACAACAGGCTGCAGGAGCAGTCCATGAGGTGACCTGGTTTGGACAAACTGGTCCCTTTACCCCAATTTTAGCATGTCTTTGGCTAATATCTGCTCCTCTTTTCCAGGATTTTGAGTGCAATGATCCTGCCAATCAAATACATCTTTGGTATCCAGATAGTGGTGAAGGGCAAGGAGCACCTGAGGTCTAAGAAACCTTTTGTCATGGTGCTGAACCATCAGACCTCCCTTGACATTCTGGGTATGTGGTGATCCTGCTCCTGCTCCTGCCCCCAGAGGTGGGGAGGGAAGTACAGAGGGGTAGGAGTGACTGCTACATGGTCCTTTTCCAGCCAGCATCAAGCTGATCTCCAGGGTATTGGAATCAGGGTTATTTTTCAGGGCAGTGGAATCAGGGCTGATCTCCAGGGTCTTGGAGACAGAGTTGTTCTCCAGGGTATTAGAGCCAGGGCTGATCTCCAGGATATTGGATCCAGGGCTGAGCTCCATGATATCAGAGGTATTTATAAGCTTCACCCTCTCCAAAGGAATGAGGACAAAACTCAGTGGCCCACAGCAATGTCATAGTTGCTCTCCCTCAGTGCCAGTAATAGTCCTCCTCTACCTGAGGGGCTGCTCTGGTGAGCCCCAGAAGCTCCTTCCCAGATGTGAAGCTGCAGGCATGGCATCTCCCAGAGCAGAGGGATGGAGCCCAGACTCCAGAGGAACCCTCAGTGCAGATGACAACTTGTCCTGTCCTTGTTCTCCCCTTCCAGTGATGATGCAGGTATTACCCAGTCGCTGTGTAATCATTGCAAAGAAGGAAATCCTCTACATGGGCACCTTTGGCTTGGCCTGTTGGCTTGGAGGAGTTGTCTTCATTGACAGAAAGAAGAGGGAAGAGTCTATCAACATATTGTCAGAGGTGGCACAATCCCTGCACAAGGACAATGTGAGTGGGGAGGAGCCACTGGAAAACATCAGCCCTGGTGTGGGTGGAAAGAGACCTTTGCCTCTGGGCTGGGCCTGAGCAGAACATCCCTGGTGGGTTCAGTGTGTTGTGTGCCCATGAAGTGGAGGAAGACTATGTCTCTGCATGGTCAGGAGCACACAGATCAGTCCCAGGGTGACATGCCTATGCTGTGGCTTAGAGTAGTCCATGGAGGTCCTTCCATCTCAATGTCTTCTCCCTCCTGCAGGTGTGTGTCTTGGTCTACCCTGAAGGAACTCGCAATCATGGTGGCTCCATGCTGCCCTTCAAACGTGGAGCCTTCCAGCTGGCTGTGAAAGCCCAGGTAAGCCCAACCTTCCTCCTGCCCTTTGGGGTTTCATTTACCCCCCATGGGCCACCAGCAAACCAAGCTCCTGCTCCCTGGCTTGCCTTTGGATCCAGCATGCACCCAGGAGCTCAAAGGAGTTTGCAGGTGGCATGGGAAGGGACTGTTTCTGGGACAAGTGGAAAAGCTTCATGACAGCTTGGGAAAAGAGTGGGGGAACCTTGACAAAAGGCCTGGACCTGCTCAGAGGAGTTTCTGCTGAGCTGGTCTCTACATGCTGATTTGGCAATCAATGATTGTTGGCCTAAATACAGAGATGAACATGCAAAACCCAACAGTGAGGACAGTTAAATGATCTAAAGATCCTTGGAACCTTCTGCCTGTCTGCTGTGAAGCTGACTGGGATAACTATCAGCGAGGTGCAGGATTCACCTGAAAACACCAGTTGCACTTGTGGGTAGGAGTGGGGAGATGTGTATATTCACTGGAGCTGTCTCCCTCCAGGTCCCCATTGTTCCTGTTGTGTTGTCTTCCTACTACAGCTTCTACCACCAGAAGGAGAAGAGATTTACACCAGGTGAGGATGACTTGAGGCAAAGAATGAGTTGGGTATTGGTATGAGCTCAGGTCTTGGAGCTATGAGGTGGGTGGGCATCACATGGGATGTGGAGATGGAAGCTAGACAACAGCAGTTTCTGTCTTCTTGGGAGGGAATGGAAGATTTCAGGCATCATTTTTGCCTCTCCTCTTGGATTTCTCATGGTTTGTCCAATTCTCATCTGAGGGAACCTAGAGGAACAGGAGAATCCTGGGGCAGGTCCTTCCTCTGGCCCCACCATGCTGCCCTTGGATGGATAGGGCCATGAGTAGGGATTCCTCTAGCCTGTTCCCTCCCCATACTGATCCAACAGAGCCCTGCTCTGGGATCTCTGGATTAACACCATGGGGAGGGATCTTTGCAGGTACTTGGAGAGTTGGGAAACAAAAGCAAACATGGAGCTGTCAGCAAGTCACCCTGAGGGTGTCTTCTCCCAGTTTCAGCCATTTATGGTGCCGAAGATTTCTGCTGGTCACTGGTAACATTATCTGGGGGAGAAATGACACAAATCTGGGGCTTAAGAAGGAAAATGCAGCAAAAGATGTTACAAATTCCAGCAGGGAAAAGTAACCCATCTTGTTCCTCCACTCCTTTTGCTGCCACCCACCCCAAAATTGGCTTCTGCCTCTTCCCAGCCTTCCCCAGGCCAACCCTGCTGTCTCCTAAGGGGAGGATTTGCTCCTTAAATTCCTTCTCCTCCCACTGCTGTCTGGGTGTAGTCACTCCCTCGCAGACAGACTCCTGGAAGGGAGAGGAGTGCAAAGGATAAAGACTGCATTGGCAGTTCCTGCTCAGCTTTCACCTTCTGGGTGAAAGATGAGTAGGAACTCTCTCTGTTCCCCACACACAAAAGCCTTTTGGCACTGCAATTGTTCCCCGGGTACTCCTCTACCCTGCTCCTTCCCCACCACATCCCCCTGCTCAGATGATTTGGCAACTCAGGGAATAATACCCTGGGGAGGCATCTCTGAAGGAGCTGAACCTTGTGTTTTAATCAAAGCCAAATGAGTTTACAGACAGATGAGTTTACTTTGTGCCTTGTCCAGCCAAGTTTGGAGTAGCTCCAAGGACAAAGATTCCACAAAATCCCTGAGCTTCTTAGGAATGACCTTTTGCTGTTGCATGTACATTTGTCTTTATAACAATCTCACTCACCCCAGGGGTTCATGGTTAGCTGACCTCTAATCCCACAGTTAGCTGAGCTCTAAGCTCTTCTCCAAACCGCTGTGAAACAGCTCTTGTATACACCTCAGTTTTGTCTCCCTCCCATGGCTCTGCTTCCAGAACTCCTGGATCTCCTTTCCCAGCTCACATGTAAAGGCATGCAAGTACCTTAGAGAATCCCACAGACACTCCCCAGATCCCCAGGAGGGTCAGGTGTCTGTGCAGGCAGGATCTTGTCTCTGCTGGCTAGAACAAGGTGCCAGAGCAGAAGAGAGTGATGACAGTTCCCCAGGACATTCATCCCATTTGCACCAGTGCATTGCTTAGGTGCTTCCCCAGAGGAATCTGACACACTACGGAATCCTGGACACAATTCCCCTCATCCCTGTTTCTGGAGAGAGGAACTCTGCTGAATTTGTTAGCTCAGAGCACACCCAGTTTGGATGTGTTGTATTAGACATCTTTCCTTTGCTGTGGTCTAGACCCTGAGGTCTTCCCACTCTTGGAAACTCATTTTATATGAAACATTGCATTAGATTTGTGGAGAGATTCACCTGTTTCCATATTTATCTCCCACCTGTGGATGGGAATAGCCTGGTTTGGGTTTTGCTGTGTGCATCTAGGACATGGTTGAGCTCCTGGTGTGTGACTAAGGGCATTTCCATTTGCTTCTGCCTTGTTCCTTGGCAGGCACCAACCCCCTTGCTACATCTTCTCTTGCTCTTCTACACCACCCACATATTTTCCTCCCTCTCTCTCACCTCCTGTCTCCCTTTTCCAGGCAAACTCATCATCCAGGTCCTGCCAGAAGTGCAGACCCTGGGTCTGGGCCCGGACGATGTTGCCAAGCTCACCGAGCAGGTCCGTGACTCCATGGTGACCACCTACCAAGGAATCTCAGGAATGACGAATGGAGCTTCCCATCAGTGATCCCAACTCCCAGCTCTGTGTGCCACAGCTGAGGGGGAGGGCATGAATGGCAAGCACAGGAAGGTCTGGCAGCAGAGACGCCCATGGATTTTATCCCTGCCGTACCAGAGACAAGTAAAACATCCATCAAGGAAGAGAAGCTTCTACGTGGAGGTGGTGAAAGTGTTGGCAGGTTCCTTCTAGAGAACTGTGCCACCAGCATGGACAGACACATGATGGGCAGGTGGACCTTGCTGTGTAATCATCACGCTGAGAACATCTCTGCTGCTGGACCCAGGCAGAGCTGGACCTCTCCTGTGATCGTCTCTGCTTATCATCACCTTTTCCTACTCAAAGCCAACAAGGCAGAGGCATTTATCCCAAGCCTGAGACTATTCTGCCTGAAGAAGTGGCTGCCTTGGGGTTTAGAGGCTGCCACATCACCCCAGAAGCACACTCACAAGAAGGCAGCATTTCCTACCTCTGTCCATGGGGAGGATTTGGGAGGTATCTCTGCCACAAGGGCAGAAGCCAAGGCAGCTTTGGGAGAGGGGAATTAAAGCCCTTACATGTGTCTGCAGGGCTTGGTGGTTCCTTTGTGTTTCTTAGCCTTCCTTCCAAGCAAAGCTAGGGTTTGCTTTCAGTGGTTGGGCAGATCCTGAAAGTGCAAGAGGAACATGCCTGAAGACTCAGAAACCAGAGGTAAAGAGCAGGAATATCCATGCCATGCCCTGATGGAATCATCATGCCCTGATGGAATCACCATCCCTGAAAGTGTTCAGTTAACATGTAGATGTGGCACTTGGGGATATGGTTAGTAGTGGACCTACTATTTATCTTAACAGCTGGCCTTGATCTTAAAGGCCTTTTCCAGCCTTAATGATTCTAACACACAGAATCACAGAATCACAGAATCATTGAGGTTGGAAAAGACCTCCAAGCCCAATCTTTGACTGAACAACGCCTTGACAACCAAACCAGAGAACTAAGTGTCATGTCCAGTCATTTCTTGAACACTCCCAGGGATGGTGACTCCACCACCTCCCTGGACAGCACATTCCAAAACCTGACAGCCCTTTCTGTGAAGAAATTCTTCCTGATGTCCAACCTAAACCTCCCCTGGCACAGCGTGAGGCTGTTTCCTCTCATCCTGTCCCTTGTTCCCTGGGAGATGAGCCCAACCAGAAGGCTCTAACTACCTCTCAGGGAGTTGTAGAGAGTGATAAGGTCCTCCCTTGAACCTCCTTTTCTCCAGGCTGAGCCCCAACAGCTCTCTCAGTCACTCCATGTGCTCCTGCCCCTTCCCCAGCTCCATTCCCTTCTCTGGACACAATTCAGCTGCTCAATGTCTTGTCATGAGGGACCCAAAACTGCCCTTGGGCTGCCTGAGGGCTTGAGGTGCCTCAGCAGTGCCAAGTCCAGAGAGACAATCACTTCCCTGGTCCTGTGGCCACACTGTTGCTGATCCAAGCCAAGTGCCATTGGCCTTCTTGCCCAGCTGGGCACATCTGAGCTCATGTTCAGCTGCTGTTGACCAGCACCACTAGGTCCTTTCCCATTGAGCAGTTTTCCAGTCACTCTGCCCCAGCCTGTAATTGATGCCAAACATAGACAAGTGCATGTGATGTGTTTATTCCTGCCCAGAACACCCAAACCACAGAGGTTTACAGTCACAGATGTGCCTAGGCCTCAGGATGCAGCTGCCATGCTCCAGTGTCTTCAGAGACTGAAATCTCACTGCTGAGTAGAAACAGCCTAAACAGCTTTGGCTCTTGTGCAGAACAAGGAGATAAGGAAAGTGTTGGTAAAGGTCACATAAATATGTTGATTTCTGAGCAGGTACAAAGGATGAGGAGTTTGATTCTGAAATGTAAGTACACCAACCTCCAGGTCTGACACCCTGTCAGGGTGGGAAGTAAAACATTTGGCTTAACTACACTTTTAGAGAGTCATAAATCCTCTTTTTTAAGGCAACAGAACCCAAAATGTCATTGCCCTTCCAGCTGGAGACTTGCATTACTGGAGGTTTTTAGAAATAAATGATATAAAAAAATCACATTACAGGAAATAGTTGACTTAGTCTTGAGCTTCCCCTGGGAAACCACATGCTGAGGTTCAGTTAACAGCAGCCAGCAGAGCCTGATGGCCAGGCAGCAGCTTCCCAAGAGCAGCTCAGTGCCACTGAGGTGGGTTAGGGGTTTTCACCACTGGCCTCATCAGCAGAACCTGTCAATGAAGCAGAAAAAGCTACTGAGAAGCTGAAAATCCTTCCTGGCCACATTATTTGTCCCCACATTTTTGTCATTGCTGTATCCTTGCATCTCTGAGACACCACAGAGCTTCCAGCCAGGTCAACAGGTACCTCTGGTGACATCAGATCTTTTAGGATCAGTGTCTTGGGGGTAATTTCTTGGCACTTGAAAAGGTTAAACCTTTAACAGCTGCTCTTAACACCTTGGAATTTCACTCTCTCTGGGTTCCCTTCAGCTCCCTCCCAGCCTGGGCATGAAAGAGCTCCAGGAAGCAGCTCAGCATATTTTAGTGACCATAAGACTATGATAAGAAGAGAAATGAGAAAGTCTATTGTTTAGGGAGAAGGTGAGTTGGTGTCAGTCCTAAAAATGGGGTGAAATCACCATCATTTAGCCTTTCCATCAAGTCCAAGTGTCTGCCTGACACAACAGTGTCTTCAGTAGTTAATCAGACTCAACAAGGAACTGCATGGAGATGCTCTGTGCCATGCAGGAGGACAGAGTAGGTGATCCCCAGGTATTGACAACACCCATAAATGTGTTGCCAGAAGGCAAAATATCTAATCCAGACCATCCTGCAAGTCTCTGTCCTCCCACATCTATGGAGACCTCACGCCAAAGTGCATATGTAGGACACAGTGAGTGTTCATAACTCATATGAAGACACTGTTTTACTGTGGCACATCACAATCTCTGCCTATATGTGTTGAACTACTGGTGTCAGTGTCAAAACTACTCCTGAGAGACCTTAAACTGCTTTAGGGAAGGCAAGGGGAGAGCAAGGACTTAGAGCAGCAAAGAATTTGGAGCAGGTTGGCTAATTCCAATTGACTAGGGTTGTCCTGGAATAAGGTACTTAGAGAAGGACACATTCCAAAGGCCAGAACAGCCTGGATTTTCAGGGATTCCCCATCTGTTGAACAGGATAATAGGGATGATGAAGGGCATGGATTGCATGGAGATACAGCTAACAGCACCTCTGAATGGATGATCATCATCTCTTTGGGGGCAGAGTCACTGTGGTAACTATTTCTTTAGGCATGGAGGTGACCTTGTAATGCATTTACTGTTTTTGTCAGACCTCAGAGCACTGGTACCTTTTGTGCCACTCCAAGGTTCATCTTTCCAGGGTGAGAGGTCAATTGCATCGATCTCTTCACAGTCCACAAAGTCCTCAGGGTAATTGTTGATCTTGAACACGTCCTTGGGTACCTTTCTGATACGAGTGTTGTCACAGAACACCCTGGACACTGTGATTCTTCTCAGTGCTTCCAACTGCTGTGGAGTGAAAACTCCTGGGTTCTCCCACCAGAATCTGCAATGAGATTTTCAGGAGGTGTTTATAGTCTTTGGTTAACTGCCAAGAGGAGAACCTGACCAAGGTGAGTCTCTGCTCAGTTCCACCTTGATTCCCCAGGCAACTGGCACAACCCTTTGGAAAGAGGTGTCTTTTGGAAAGAGGATTCACCAGGCTGCTAGGAAGAGCCTTTTGTGCCTCTGGGAGCAAATGTCACAGACCACTGCAGATCACCCATGGCCTGCAGCTGGTGCTCCTCAACCACATGGATCTGGAGGCAGGGGCTGCAAAAAAAGAGTCCTTTGGCAACTGGGCTAAACTCAAGGCCTGAGCCTCACGGGGGTGTTGGAGATGGGTTGAATTAGTGTGTGGCACGAAATGGCAACATTTACCCCCCCAATAAATTTCCCAGGGAATGTTGGCACTCAGAACTTCCTACCTGTCTCCATCCCGCAGGTTCCTGAACTGGGTGCCAATGATGCAGGCCAGGAGAGGTCCAACTCTGGTCCCAGGAATTAAGGGCTCTGCAATGGCCCCAATCCAGAGGTCGATGTTATCTGGTGTCCCATACACATCCATGAACTTCTTGGCCAGTTTCGAATTGCCAAGAACCTCAGCGTATTCTTCTAGGGTTTGAGGCTGGGAGAGCCCACAGAAGCCTCTCCAGGCATTGTAACCTGCAAGAACAGGAGCAGGAGTTGACCCACCACCATTTGTCTAGGAGCAGTACTTGGATCATGAGCAATATGTGCTTCTTCTCATGGCATTAAAGGATCTGGAAGATGCTATTGGCAGTCACAAGTGTCATGTTTTTGAAGGTCCTTTTGCATGCACTAAACTAACAATTTGGGTTGTCTTTGCCTGTTCATCCTGTTGGCTAGAGCTCTCTAGTGCTGCTGGTGAATCACTCAGTCCTTGCAGCTTGGGAAGGTAAAATTTCTGGGCTTAAAGCCCTAGAAAAGAGCAACATTTGGTTATGCTTCATCCAAGAGCACCAGGTCTTCTGCAGCACCTAGGGTAGCCATACCTGTGGGTGCAATTTACTGCTGCTCAGAGCTTTGGGTTGTCTGGAGACACAAATGAAGCTTTGGTAGGCAAAGAACAAAGCACAAGTGTCTAAGCCCTTGTGAAAGCTGAACTTGGGCACTTATGTCTGTACCCCATGTGTTCTATTTGCAATATGCCACTCCCTCTCTTCATTACATTATCCCAACTATCATTTTGATTTCAAAATCTTTAGTCCTTCTCTTAAATCCCTTGTGCAAAGATGCAGAGTCCTTTTATTCCCTGAGCTTGTCTGTCTATCCATTCTTCACACTCAAGTCAAGGTTCTGTTTCTCCCCATTAGTACGAAAAAAATGCATTCATGGAACTACTATAAACAGTAGAAGAAAAGAAACTATTGCCCCTAGGACATATGGACTTGTGTCTCCTTACCTGCAAGGCCATGATCTCTTCCCCTTTGCATGTTCATAGCTGCTAGGTCCAGACCCATCACCTCTGTCTGCTCAAACAGGTGGTTCTGGAGCTCATCGACGAGCATTTGATTCTGTTTCATCAGCTTTGCATGATCCACCAGCATCCCCCGGACCAGTGGGTCGATGCCACCTGCAGCCATTGCAAATCAAGGAGAGACTTTTGGTGCCAAGTTGCAGCTTTGAAGGTCTCTTTCATGCACCCGGGTGAGGTTCTCCCAGCTCCATATTTCCATTTCAACATGTGCATATAGAATCAGAGAATAGTTTGGGTTGGGAGGATCTTAAAGCTTATCCAGTCCCACCCCCTGCCATGGGCAAGGACACATTCCACTAGCCCAGGTTGCTCCAAGCCCCATCCAACCTGGCCTGGAACACTTCCAGGGAGGGAGCAGCCACAGCTTCTTTGAGCAACCTGTGCCAGTGCCTCACCACCCTCACAGCGGTGATAAATTCTCTGTTGTCCACCAGGACCTCCAAGTCCCTGTTTGCAGAACTTTTCCTTGGCTCATCAGTCCCAACATGTCCTGATCCGCATGGATCTGTCCAAGGCTTAGATTTTGAAATGGATTTTTTTTTATAATTCACTATTAATTGACAGACAGTTCTCAAAACATTCAATGCAAGGATAGAATCAACTCTTATCTGATTGTCTGTGGTTTTATATTGTCTCAAGAGCCCTTGAATCACTCTGAGTCAAACACAGGGAAATAGGCCACATGTGTTTTCCATGATTAGTTAAACAACACATTTTGGAAGAGACATTTGTTTTCCTTGGCAAGACTCATGTCAGGACATCTCAGCTAGTGGGACTCCACAACTCCATTTAGAGCCACTCAGAGCCATGGACACCACTAGGAAGCAATGAGGTTTGCTTAGCTCAGTTAAACTGGATGCATCACCCTCTGGCAATGCCTCCTAGTGATATAACAGCTTTGATTGACCTAAATTTTGATGGCCTGGCATTTGGCACCAGGAGTTTCATGCCCCCTGGAGCAACAGGAGCAGTTGCAACATCTGAATGGATGTGTAGCACTCATGCTATTGGGTCTCATGAGCTGGGAGATGTGTGGCAACCTGAGGAGGAGGTTTGGTGTGTTCTATATTCACTGACATGTTCAGAATGTGAGTTCAATTATCATGCAATGACCTGAGGAAGACAACACTGCAAAAGTGTTTGAAGAGGTTCAATTATCATGCAATGACCTGAGGAGGACAACACTGCAAAAATGTTTGAAGAAAGCTACAGAGTGGTATGTTGTGATGGAAGATCCTGCTCCAACGTGGCTGCTTCTGCAGGGGTTAAGGTTCTGTGGTTGGAATATAACTGCGTGTCATTTTTGGCTGAGCTCCTTCACCTGGGGACACTGCAGGATCAGTGTTAGGCTGTTTGCAGACAATTCTGCAGGTCTGTCCTGCTCCCACCAGCAGTTTGCCCACAGCCCCTTGGTTAGACATGTCATGACAACATTCCAGGCTGGATGGCACTGTAATTCCTGTGAGGCCAATATAGCTAAAGCCCTTTTTTTTTTAGAGTCTAGGCCCTTTGGAAGGGGCTGCCCAGGGTGTGATTCTGTGTGTGGTTCTCTGTGTTAAAACCCATGAGGTTGTCAGAGAATCATCATAGAATCACAGGATCATTAATGCTGGAAAAGGCCTCTATGATCATCAGGTCCAACTGTTCACATAATACTGTCAGGATAAGAGGAAGCAGCCTCAAGCTGTGCCAGGGGAGGTTCAGGTTGGACATCAGCAGAAATTCTCCTTGGAAAGGGCTGTCAGGCATTGGAAGGGGCTGCCCAGGGAGGTGGTGGAGTCACCATCCCTGGAAGTGTTCAGGAAACAACTGGACGTGGCACTCAGTGCTCTGGTTGAGTTGCCAAGGTAGACATGGGTCACAGGTTGAACTAGATTATCTTGGAGGCCTTTTCTAACCCCAATGATTCTGTGATTCCATGTGTCTGAGCAGCTGATCTCCACCTGAGCCTCAGGACCAGCCCAGGGCTGCCTGCCCCACATTCTTACCTTCCATTATAATCCTCCATGTAGCACAAAAGGTCAGATGAAGAGGGACGTGGGAGAAGGACCCCAAAGGCTGGAAACTGTCATTCAGACGGGACACAAAGGGCTGCACTGAGGTGTGACCGAAGCGAAAAGCCAAGGAGAACACGTTGGAGGCTGTTGGATTCACCCTCTCATTGTACCCCCTGTACGAAGGGATCCACTTGCTACTCTCCCCAGCAAGCAGGAGTGGGAGGTAATCTCTGTAGGTTATGATCTGGAAAAGCACAAAAGCAGAACAAGTTGACAGCATCTGCAGCAGAAATGGCATCAAAGTCAAGGCAGAGCATGAACATGGGCTTTGTGTAACAGAATTCAGTAAGATTTTCAAGAAAAGAGCTGTAGTCATGGAATGAGTTTGGAATAATATAGTAAAATTATTTTAAAAGGCAAAATTTTTCAATATATTAAGTAATTGATGTAATAAATATAATAAATAATTGATAAATTATGGTTTGGGTTGGAAGGATCTTAAAGTTCATCCCATCCCACCCCCTGCCATGGGCAGGGACACCTTCCACTAGACCAGGTTGCTCCAAGCCCCATCCAAACTGGCCTGGAACACTTCCAGGGATGGAGCAGCCACAGCTTCTCTGGGCAACATGTGCCAGTGCCTCAGCACCCTCACAGTGGTGAGAAATCCCTTGTTGTCCACCAGGACTTCCAAGATCCTGTCTGCAGAAATGCTCTTCAGTAAAATAATGGATAAAAAAGCTCTGGATACCTGTGATGGACAGTCCTTAGCCACAATTTCCAGCTCCTACAAATAACTCCACTGATTAGAAAGGGACTTGGCAGTGC